CGGGTCCAGAAGGCAGCTCCAAGCTGGCAACAACTGGAAAGGACTGGGCTACAAGAAGCTGGGGGCCTGGGACACCCGCTGAGCTGCAAGGCAGAGTTAGGGAAGCACCGGGCAGATCTGGTGAGGACCAGCCCTCTAGTGGCTGGGGACCCTTGCCGTTGTTGACGTGGTGACGCCAGGGTGCTAGCGGACAGCGCTGGGGAGAGCTGGTGTGTCCTCAGCGCCAGCAGGTGGCAAGCTAAGGGGTGGCAGTGAAGGCTGGACAGGGCGACGCTGGCTCTCCCACACCAGCGAGGTGTTAAGCCTCACAGAAAGGCAGGCAGGGCCCAGGTCTGTTGGGGGGACCCAGGCCTCTTTGAGTAGGGGCTTTCTCCAGAGATCTCTTGCCCACTCACGCTGTACGGGAGCCCAGGCATAAGGACGCTTTGGGAGGAAGGGTGGAGGCTGACAGAAGCCCCTAGCGTCTGTGCCCAGGGGCCCCAGGCCAGGGCTCCCATTCTGCTGACAGGGTGCTCGGGTCTGAGAGGTTTATAGGGTTTGAAAGCAGCCGCCCAGCTTGGAGTCCCAGGCTCTGAACTGTATGTAGGAGAGGAGACTGCTGTCCCCATCACCACCATCTGAGAAGTGGTCTGTAGATGATTTTATCTGGTGGCTAGCGGAGAAAGAAGCAAGGGACCCCCTGCGAGGGCTAGTAATCGTAGTAGGGGCCTCTTGAGGTTCTTTCAAGGGACTCAGGGGCTCTGCACCCTCTTCCCAGGAGCCCAGGCTCTCACGGCCCCAAGAAGACACAGAGGCCTGGGAGTTGGGCCGCTCCAAGACCGAGGCAGAGGTGCTGGAGGCTGGGGGTGGGGTGGGAGCGCTGGATGAGGCAGAGGTGCTGGAGGCTGGGGGTGGGGTGGGAGCGTTGGATGGGGTGGGTAGCTCTATTGATGTAGCAGCTTCTGAGGGGGGAGCCGCTAGGACACCCAGGCTCAGGAGCCCCACAGAAGCAACAATGTATCTAGAATCCACCTGCCTGCCAGCCTCAGTCCAGTCCAGAGGCTTCTGTCCAGCTAGAGGCGGGACAGGAGGGGGTCTGCAACACCTACCCCTGCCCTGCAGCCTGGAGGGGCTGCCCTAGGCTGGGCTGGGAGAGGTACCAGCAAAGGGGTCTGGAGAGCACACAGGGCAAGAGCCAGCAGCAGGGCTCCGTGCCCCCTGACTGGGGTGTCCCTGTGGCCTTTCTCAGCTGGGGCTGGGGCGGAAGGAGCAGCAGGCTGGGCTGGGGGGTGGCTCAGGGGCTGGAGACACTACCCCCACCTCTAGCAGGAGGACCGTGGGGTCCGAAGAGGCACGTTCAGGCAGGTGGGTTGGGCCCTGCTCCATTTCCTCTGGGGGGTTTCGGGAGACCCAGCCCATTCACCCCAACCCCCTTAGTGAGAACTAGGCAGGGCAGGAAGCACCTGGAGGTTACCAAGGGGGTCTTCATAATCCCCTCATCAGGCAGAGCCCTGTGCTCTTCCTCCCCGTTACGCAGGCTCAAGGGACAAAGCTGCCCCGTCACTTACCTTGCAGGCCTGAGGCTTAACTCCTGCCGGCAAAGCTACTGGGTCAGAGAGCCAAGTAGGGCAGCCGGGGAGCAGGGCCTCATTCGGGCCACGGGCTCACCTGAGTGCCATCCTCCTTTTATCAACTTAGGCCAGAGACTCTCATGTCGCCTAGTGAGGCCATCTGAGGCGGAGAGAAGCCTGGCAAGCAGGTGTGGACTCAGCCGTTGTGGTAAGCAGAGGCAGGTACAGAAGGTTCCTGGCCTCCTGGCTGGCCCACAACCCCCAGGACTGGATCCGCGTCTTGACACAGCCCCTAACTTGATGTAACCGGCAGCAAGTGCCGGGACCCATTTCCTCATCTGTAACCGGAAGGGAGTTGTCTGTGTTACTCAAAAGGATCCCTGAACACCTGACCCAGAATCACCGTGGGAGCTGGATTCAAACCCAGCTTTCTGGGCTCCGCCAAGGGCCATTCTTGGTGGGGCCTGGGCAAACATTTTCCAGATGATTCTGTGTGAGAAGTTACCTGAGCTCAGCCCAGCCCAGCCCAGCCCAGAAGCCTTGGACAGTTACAGGGGACTGTGGGGCCTGAAGAGCCACATTCAGCCAAGGCAGAGTGCGCCTGCTCTGGCTTCCCTGAGAGGCGGGGGCTGCCGACACCCTCAGCTCTCAACACCCTGACTGAAGCATGGAACAGGCCTTGTGAAAACCCCTGTGAGGGGCAATAGAACAGCCTCCCTCAGACGGGAGTCCTGGGCAGTTCCATCCCCACCCCACCCGACGAGGGCTCCCAGGCCAGAGTTGTCCCCTGGGCGCAGCCACCTCCCCCAGCAAGATCCAGGTCCAGGCCAGTGAAACCCAGCCTCTGCACCATGGAGGCCCTCTAGGGCCACAGCGGACAGACAGATGCCCCTGGGTGCTGGGCAGCTCTGCCTATGCCGAGGCCTCGGAGCCCACCCGGGACTGCTGGTGAGAAGTGGCAATGAAGGTAGGAAGATGGCAGGGAGGAAAGAAGGAAAGGAAGAGAAAAAAAGAAGAAACAGAGCCAAATCCCGAAGGTTCTGGCAATGAGGTGGATGAAGTCGACGGGGTGGCAGAGGGCCTGGGGGTTCGGCGACTCCACCCATGTTGCCCCCCACTCAGGAGTTAGCCTCAAGTGAAGCAGACTGGCCGTGCTTCAGCTCTCTGGGAAACACGTGCACCGGGCGCCTGGGTGGCTCAGTTGGTTAAGCGACTGCCTTCGGCTCAGGTCATGATCCTGGAGTCCCAGGATCGAGTCCCGCATCGGGCTCCCTGCTCGGCAGGGAGTCTGCTTCTCCCTCTGACCCTCCCCCCTCTCATGTGCTCTCTCTCTCATTCTGTCTCAAATAAATAAATAAAATCTTTAAAAAAAAAAAAAAAAACACGTGCACCACAGCCCCTATCCTCCAGGCTGGTGGGCTAGAAGCTTGCTGCACTCCCACCCATGTTTCCCGGCACTCCAGCCACACCTGTTTCCCTTCTCCAGATATTCCTCTTGGCCTCCTCACACGCTGTTCACCGGACTGCACTTCACCCTTGCCTTTACCTTCTTCCTCCCTGCCTCCAAGGGCCACTTCCGGCAGCATCTCTTCTGGGATCCAAGGACGCCTCCTTGTCCCCAAGCTAGGACTGGCCCCTTCCAAGCTTCCAAAGCACGCTTCCCCGGGTTCTGTCACTGTGGTGACCACATGTCGGAGTTGCCGGGGAACTCCTCAGGCCTGGATAGGCAGCAGCAGGAGCAATGGCGGCTGCCGTTCCACATCCTGGCCTAGTGCAAAGCCAGGCTCCAGCTGTTGGCAGGCCCAGGAGGGATACTGTACTGGACTCAGGGAAGGCTCACGAAGACTAGGGTTGACACCGGCAGGTCTGACCAGTCCTAGTGGACTGACCCTCTGTCTGGATGGGAGTGGGAAACCAGGAAGCCACCTCAGCAGCCCTGAGAACAAACCTCTTGCAGGAAGAGCCCAGCAGAGGCAGGGTCTCTGGAGGGTGTGCTGTGTCTCCCCATACCAGCTTAGGGGTGAGGAGCTGTCCCTCCGTGGGATGGAGTCACCAGCATGGGAACAGGGTGACAACACTGTTCTAGGTACACGTTGGTGGGCATGTCCTTGGTGCTGGGAGACGGGCATGTGCTAGGCCTTGTGACCAGCATTTCTCACTGGGGCAGTGCACTACAGACCCAACAACCACCAGGACCCACAAAGGTCTCGGGAGGGAAAGGACTTTCCTTGAGCAGGGCAGTGGCTGCCCAGTGGATGGGTGACCAGGACCCACGTGGCCAGAGCTAGCTAGCATAATGGTGCCAGAGAGCCTCGGCACCTTCTGGGCTAGGAGCAGGGAGAACTGCTAAGGACTACGTGATGGCCTATTAAACGTGTGGCGCCCCCCCCCAAAAAACACAGCCAGGCTTCAAGTCCAAAAACAACCCAAATGCTTTAATGTTTAATGGCCTGCCTCCAGGGCCCACAGCCTTCTTACAAACCTTAGCTAGGTCAAGGGCCCAGCTCACCAGCCTCTGGCTCAGTTTAGCACTCTGCAAGGAGGTAACTCATAGCAGGCCTGACTGACGGGGGCTCTGGCTTAGGGAGTGCCAGGGTCCCTAGTCCACATCTTCAGAGACCTCCCAGGATTGAGCTGTCATTCAGCCTGTCTTGTCTAGTCCCTGAGTCCCTGCAGCTGCTCGGCTTCTAGCAAACATACAACTTTCTTGGGAAGATACACCGGGTGGAGGCGGCAGCTCAGGGAAGTCACTGGTGTCAATTCAGGACAGGCCTGGGGCCTCCCAGAGGTGAGAGCAGCAGGCCCAGAACAAGGATGCCAGCCCCAGGCTGTATCCAGGCAACCCCCGTAGTGAAGAAGGGAAGGGGCAGGCTCCCCCAGGGAGCTCCAGGCTGGGGGTCAGGGAGGCTTTCCTGGGAAATGACTCTAGAAAAGTGTAACTCATACACACTGTACACCGTACCACCCTAAAATAACCAAATCCTATGACACACGAAGACTTTCTAGAAGGTTCTGCTTGCCTTAGCCTCCTATTCCAGGCTCTGGCTGGGATCTAGGCCCCTGTCCTGGGGAGGAAGCAGACAGCAAACCTTACTGGGTGTGCGTCAGGCATCACCCCCCCAACAACCCTGTGAGGTAGGCTGTGTTGTCCTATCTTACAAACAGGGAACTGAGGGCGCAAGGGAGGAAGTGACTTGCCTGGTTACACAGCAAGAACACAGGAGCTAGAATTCAAGCCCAAGTCTGTTGAGCTCCAAAGCCCACACGTTTTCTCTAAGGAAGAAACAGGAAGTAGTCCCCTCTAATAATAAAGGTCCGCAAGTTAAAAGTTCAGAGGCTCTCAG